TGCAAGTCTTATAATGTTGTTGTTGTTAAGTGGATATTTTAAATAATAATGTAGCAACTCTAAAAATCAGATGCTCCTTTCTCTCCATGGTTGTTCGTTCTTGATGTAATTGTTTTTATTGTTTAATCACTAACTTTTCTCAACTAATTCTATAAAGTGTGTGTTCTTTTTTGCATGTGGCCAGTGAAGTCTCTATTTGGTGAGTTTAGTGGTCAGCTAAGTATTAAATGGAGAATTTCTTAAACTCCTGGGACTAGTAAATATGTCAGTCTTTGTGGAGGGGCTTCATGTACATATTGGAGCATGCAGCCTAGCAGTTGAAAACTCTGCCTAAGCCTTCACTTCCTGCTCAGGTAGAGTCAAAATCAGCTAAAGATGAGAGCTTAAGACCTTCTCAGGTTTCTCCTGAGCACGCACTGAACCCTGTATATTCCTTTCAAAGCCTCCACATATATTTTATTCCCTACGTTTTCCTTTGGCTTGCCTCAGTTGTTAGCCACCATGAACTAACTTTGGTTAAAACACTTGTCTATAATTGTTTTCAACAAATACTCCCCTGTGAAAAGGCTTTTCTGTGTCCAGTTAAAAATAGTCTTGTAAGCAGGGAACCATTGGACAAATCTAACAAAGACAGTTCTTTGGGATTGAAGCTTTCAAAGAAGTCTGGTTCTATTTTGCTCATCCTGATGCCTACTAGGCTACACTAAGAATGTGGGTTGCCAAGGGGCTGGAGGGTGGGGATGGGTCTAGGGCTTTAAAATATTAAAATGTCACAGAACTTGGGTTGTTTATTGAATTTATAGTTCCTGGGTTCCTGCAAACCTTTGGTTAGTTTCCAAAGTTCATAAAAGATTGGTTGATGATTTTTGCCCGTTTTTTGGTTGTTTTAATGGAGGAGAGCTCTTTTAGAGGCCTTTTCTTCACCATTTGTACTGGTAAAAGTCTGGTTTGGGAATTTCTTATATAGTTTTTATTTTCCTGAGGGTTCTTACTGCATTTTTATCTTGCTGTCAAAACTTTCATCATAACCTTAGAATCACCCGGACTCTCATTAATAGGATGCATTGTCTAGAAATCCCTTTCCAGAGCTTCAGTCTGGACTGGTTATCTCTAGTTCTGCATAAGTACCATCCTGGAACTTTCTTCCTGCACTTTGTGATTAAATGCACTGCTTTTTGGATCCAAGCTAGACATTCCTCTTTTTTAGTTTTCATCCTCATTTTGTTTTTCTCAAAGTGATATGTGGTAAGTGCAGAGTTCTTATATGTCTGAAAATATATTTATTTTAGTCTTTCACTAATTCTACAGTTGGATGTATACAGAATTCTATCTTAATAATTCTCCCCTTAGATTGAAGGCTTTTCTCTTGTCTTCTTACATCCAGTGTAATTGATTTTAGAAGTCTCTTCCATTTACATTCTTTGTGAGTAAACCTTTTCTCCTCCTCATTGGCACTTTTAGGACCTTTTTAAAAGCATTCAATGTTATGAAATTTCATGAGTTTATATAAGTCATCTTTCATTCATTCTGCTCTTTGTGGGTTTTCTCAACCTGAAAACATATTTTTCTTTAGCTGTGGAAAATGCTGTTATTACTGTCCTAAGTTCTGGAATGCCAGTTTTCTTAAATTGATCTCTGTTTCTATTTTGATTTCTTTGACTTCATCTTCCAGTTTTTCTATCGAAATTTTTATTTTAGCTACTATATTGTAAATTCTTATGTTTTTTCTTTTTGGTGTAATTGTTCTGTTTTCATATTTTATCCTGGTTCTATAAATACAGTGTTTTCTCAGATCTCTATGAAGATAAAAAATGGAAATATTTTAGAATATCTTTTTTTGCTTGCTTTTTTTCTTTTCCATTTGCTTGTTTTGGTTAAAGGAGCATTGAGGAATATCTTTTACCTACTTAACCTCTGTGATCTTTTTGTTTGTTTGTTTTGTTTTGTTTTGTTTTGAGACAGAGTCTCAATATGTCACCCTCAGTAGAGTGCTATGATGTCACAGCTCACAGAAACCTCAAACTCTTGGGCTTAAGTGATTCTCTTGCCTCAGCTTCCTGAGTAGCTCGGACTATAGGTGCCCACCACAATGCCTGGCTATTTTTTTGTTACTGTTGTCGTTGTTTAGCAGGCCCTGGCCAGGTTTGAACCTATCAGCCCTGGTGCATGTGGCTAGTGCCCTGACTACTGAGCTGCAGGCGTTGAGCCTGTTTTTGTTTTTTTACCTGTCTTTTCATGTGGCTGTTTTTTCTCTTAAGATGCAACTCTCAATTCCCTAGTTTTTTAAATAAAATAATTTTTTTCCTCACTCTCTTAAGTTAGGGACAGTATTAATGGATTTCTCCACTGTGTCTGAGGTCTGCTCCTCCCAGCACCACTGAGAACTGAGTGTTTTGACCAGTCAGCTTTGCTTTTCAGGGCATGGGGCCTTGGCTGTCTTAATGCTTGAGTGAGCAAAACTTGACTTGGGGTATGGGCATCCTCATCAGGCTCCTCAGCCTGCTGGTCACTGTCTTTGGAGCAAGGCTCTCCCTTGCTGTGTAGCAAACAGCAGGATATATATTTCCTTTGATTGGGCTTAGAGAGGCATAGCTGGTTCCCATATGTGCCACTATTCTCCTTGCTTCTGTCCTCTTTACTCCCAACCAGAGCCCCTGTAGCTGTGGCTTCCATATGTCTCTTGCCTTGTAGGATTTGTCCCCCATTCCTCTCCTCTTCCTCCTAATGTTGACATCCTATCTGTTCCTTACTTCACACGTTCCCCTTTTCACTGTTTGGGGTTTTTCTCTTTGTTTGTCATTTCTGCAGGTCAGAGGAAGTCAAAGAGATGAATACCTGCCTATTCCCAGTGTGATGCCTGCAATTGGCATCCCAGAAGTATCTCTTGTCTGATTTTCTCCCTTGATGAGTTGGTTCATCCCTATGGGTAGGCAGTGTGAGAAGCTTGCCCAAATTCGGAAAGTATCATATTATGTAAAGCTGGCTGGGAGAATTATATTTGTTAAGTAAGCTTGTTTTGGCTCAGTGCCCATGCTCAGTGGTTAGGGTACCGGCCACATACACTGGGGCTGGTGGGTTCAAACCTAGCCTGGGCCCACTAAAAGCAAGGATGACAACTACAACAAAAAAATAGCTGGGTGTTGTGGTGGGCACCTGTAGTCCCAGCTATTTGGGAGGCTGAGGCAAGAGAATCACTTAAGCCCAAGAATTTGAGGTTGTGACCTGTGACACCACAGTACTCTACAAAGGGCAACAGAATGAGACTCTGCCTCAAAAAAAAAAAAAAAGTAAGCTCATTCTTGGGAGGCCAGGACTAAAGAGGATTGGCCCTCGATGTCAGGTTTCCATAGCATACAAGTTCATGGTTAGGCATGATTTAGTCCAGCATGTGTCTGGATCCTTCTAGGAGTGAGTGGGGCCATGGTCACATTTGCTTGTATTCCTCTTGCTATTAGAAGGTAGGGAGCAAAGCTCATTTGTCCCCATTGCTGGGCAGGACCAGCCAAATAGGCAGACTTTTCCATGGTAAATTCTCCCATGAAAGGTCAGTGCAAGTCTCATGGGAGGATGCCTCCTTAAAGTGTGCTTCTGAACCTGCTGGTGAGTCCCATGGCCAGTGGAACATCCAGGCTGTATCCACTTGGTAGGCAGTGCCGCCAAGTGCCACCTTGTGCCCTTCACTGCATAGCCTAGAAATCCTTTTTCACTTAGGCTGAACTGCCTGGCCGTGGTGGCTCATTGATTCTTCCATTTCCTTTTTAGATTTATGAATATTTAAACCACAGTTAGGTTGTGGTATTCAATTTCATTGGCAAATACTAAACTCTGATTTGAAAAATCTGTAACTTTGAGGGCTTTTTTCTTTAGGGGGTTTTCTTCAATCATTTTATAAGCATTTAATGAGCCCTCTACTTAGTGACATGGGAGAGTAGCCTCCAAATTGTTCTGATTCCACACTCCAATTAGAAAAATGTAAGTACTGGCTCCAGTGTTTATTAATGTATATATTATGCAAATGCTATTGTAAAATATTTTTACATTACAAAACATTTTAGAATTTAAAAAGAGTAAATGAAACAAAATGTAAATAAGAGTTCTCTTTCTTTCGTTTTGTAATAACTGACCTTATGAACCTCCTGGGGTACACGCACTCTGCTTTGGCATCTGTTGGCTGGGTTGAATGGTATGTGGAATGAAGTAAAGGGAGAACTGTGCTCTCAGCAGCCTCCTGTCTAGTTTTAGAGACAGACAAGTGGGGGCAGTTATTCCTAGAGCTGTGAGGAGGGTACACAGGCAGTCTTTGCCCAGGACTGGCTCTGAGGGAGGAGGGTAGACTGAATCTTATAGAGCCTGGATTTCTTTTTATTTTTTTATTGTTTGGCGGTTTTTGGCTGGGGCTGGGTTTGAAGCCACCACCTCTGGCATATGGGGCCGGTGCCCTACTCCTTTGAGCCACAGGTGCCGCCCTAGAGCCTGGGTTTCTAAATGAGCCAAGACAAAATCAAAACCAAGGAACCTCTCTGGGTCTCTATGACTGAGTTATAGTCACAAAGCACTGTGGTGGCTCATGGAAGGAAGAGGCAGTGCTTAGCTCTTACCTAGCAGTCCAGGGGTGGGCAAATTGGGTATGTGACTGCTAAGTGATCTTAGTTGCTGTCCAGGGCTAGGCTCCTTCATCTTCCACATGGCCACAAGGGAAAGGTAGGGGGAAGCACCCACCCCGCCTCCCTGTCTCCTCTGCTTGCCTTCTGCTGTGAGAATTGATCTCCCCTAACTGAAGAACAGAGAAGAGATTTGGGTAGAAACCTAACAACTTCCACCACAGCGTCTTACATTACTAGTTTCCAAGTACATTTACCTGAAGGAGCCAGGTGTTGTGATTCCCACAACAGTGTTGTAGTATGCAGTCAGGTACCCTGGAAACCATCATCCCTCCCACCATATAGCATATCAGTGGTCATCCTCACAGCTGAGATGATTTTCTTCTGTTGTGTTCCCAGGTCTCGGTGGCTCTTAGCAGTGACTCCATCCGTGTGGCCATGCTGGAGGAAAATGGGGAGCGTGTCCTCATGGAAGGGAAGCTCACCCATAAAATCAATACCGAGAGTTCTCTCTGGAGCCTCGAGCCAGGGAAGTGTGTTTTGGTAAGTGTGGGCACCTATGTGCAGAGCTCCCAGGTAGACTTCAAACCTGCTGGGGTGCCCCTTTTGACCAATGAATTTCTTCACAGTTGAGTAGTAATATTAATTTCAGCACTTTGGGGTAGGATTTTGTCAAGCACACTGCTTAGGGTGCATTTTCATGGGCCCTTGAGCCTTGCTTGGCCCCTTGACATCCTGGTCATTTCTGAGAACTTCATTCTCTTTTTATCTAAGGCAAAAACAAATAAATTGAAAATGAAAAAAATGGGTTGATTTTTCACAGATGCCAGTCTGGAGAATGCAGAGTTAATACATTCAGACAAATGGGTTCATTTGACCCAGTGGCTCTCCTCACCCAGCTGTTGGCTAGGCTTAGGTCAGAGTTCATGACAGTGAGATTAAGGTGTGAAGTCAAATGAATAGCTCACATGTTACCAGTTAATAGACTCTCACACATTGGGTGGCACACCTGGGCCAGACCTTTTGGTGGGCCAGTCCCCTTTCCCCTTTGAGAGCTTATTTTCTTTTCTTCCTTTTCCCCCCTCCCCTCCCCTGTTTTTTCTCTTCCTTTCTTTAAAAAAAAGAAAATAGCCTGGGTTTCATTATGTTGCCCAGGCTGGTCTTGAACTCCTAGTTTCAAGCACTCCTCTCACCTTAGCTTCTTGAGTAGCTGGAATTACAGGTGTGTGTTCCACTGCACCTAACTTTATCCCATGCTAGGCTTTGAACTCTGTCAGTGGTGACTCTTGTTGGTGCCCAAGTGGCAGCCTTCTACAGAAAAATTAAGGTGTAGCATATTTTGAACTAACTTGTTTCTTCTTTCCTCCTACTGAGGGACTTAATGCAGGGCATGATAAAACGGTTAAAGATTTAAGAAAAGAAAAAAAGTGTTCGGTCTTTGGACAGAAAGCTTTGGAATTGTATACAGACATGTTCTTCACTTGTGTAATACATAAATATGTTTCATTTTGTATAAGACATGCTCAGTGAGGGCAGACTTCTCTCTGGGCTGCCCTGGCCAATGCTGACGGTCAGGCAGATGCTGCCCAGACCCACAGAAGCTCTGCCCTGGTTGCTCCCATTCATGATTAGAGGAACATTTGGGCAAGGGACTGAATGGAGATTACTTTGTCAGTGTCATGGGAACCTGAACCAGTCTTAACCTTGGTCTCACTGTCAGTCCTAGAAGGTGGAGCTCACTTGGGGCTGCAGGTAAGGCAACCTTTGCACAGACAGCATGCTCCTTGGTGCTGCCATGGCCCTGACCACTCCCTCTCCTTGTGAGTGTTTCATCCTAAACAGGGTCTTCTGAGGCCCCACATGTGATGTGTGGAGTTTCTGGCAGTAGGGCTGGGTTTGGGCTGTCCTTGGTTCTGATTTGCCTGGCCACCCAGGGTCCACCTCTGCTGATGGCCAGTGATAGATGTCAGTAGTTCTTGTTCCAAATCTTGCTCTGTTGTGCTTTTCCTGCTGGGTGCCATTCAGCAACCAGAGACTGGACAAGTGCTGTTCTCCTGACTGTGAATGCTGTAACAAATTCGCCATTACCTGGCAGCTTAGTCCCTTGTCCCTTCATTCCCAGCATATAAATCTTGTGCATTAATCACACGTCATGAAACCTTTTCAAAGTTGTGGGCACTTGTGAGTACCACCAGTTCCTTTCCTTTGTATCATATTTGATATTTTCAGATGTCAAGGCCTCTAACATGGCCTCTGCTTCACTTGAGCTTCACATAGTTGTAGAGGTATGAGAGCACGAGCAATGGCTAGCTTACCCCTTGCAGGTGCAGCCCAGCTTCTATAGCTGCTGGACTGTACTGGGGTCCTGTAATCTGGGGTATGCTGTCTCCATGGACTGAGGTCAGTGACAGCCCTACCTTAAAACACTGGCCTTGACTGTCCTGCTGTCCACTGTTTGAACTCAGTGCAGAGTGGCCAGTGAATCTCCATTATCTCATGTGGGTTTCCTCTGAGTAGGGAGCTCTTGATGAGCCTTCACACGTGGTCTGGTTGTACATTATAGAAGCTTTGACACAGAAGCCAGCAGCCTTAGTCACTGGTCTCTGAGCCACTGTATTAAGAATCAATGTACCAGTGATTTCTTTTACATTATAATATTTCTGTAGATATGTGGTTATTACTGCCTAGCTATCCTCTTAAGGATTTATGTTGGTAGAGGTGACCCTGACTACTTTATGGATATTCCAAAGCTATGTTACTTTTTTACACTTGTAAGTACAGATATCAGGAGAATAGGGACATGACTAGTGGCCCCAGCAATAACTTCTTTTAATGATGGCCACCATTCATTGGACATGTGCTCTATGTGAGGTGCCTTACAATGCTGCATAATTCTCTGTAAACTAATTTACACATTGGAACATTGAGGCGCTAAGACAGTGGTTCTCAACCGTCCTAATGGCGTAACCTTTTAATATCATTCCTGTGGGTCGCAACCCACAGGTTGAGAACTGCCGCTCTGAGAAGATAAGTAGCTTGCCCACATGGTGCTAGTCCACAAACCCATACCAGCCTGGTTCTAGAGGGCTTTTTGGTTTGCTCTGAGGACTAGGAGTGCCTGGTGAAGCCTTGGGCTATGGAGCTAGGAAGGTTCCTTGGAGTAGAAAGTGAGGAAGGATGAATGCTGGTGCCAGTGTGGGTTTCAGAGGCTTCCTTGTGTCAGGTAAAGGTGAGGAGCAGCCACCAGGCAGGTTGAGGGCCCTGTGCCACATCCCACTCTTATACTAGGGTACCCTGAGCCACGATGTGCCCCTCCATAAACCTGTCCCCACTTGTGTGTTCTGCTAAGTCTAGGTTTTACTTGTGCCCTAGAAGCCTTTCGTTTTTGTAGTTTGCTTTAGCTAAGCACCTGCTACTTAGGGTTTATAGAGAAAAAGCAGTGCCAGCTATAGACACGAGGGGCGCTTGTTCTTACCCACGAATGTGGCTTTGGTATGTTCTCTGCTAACTCTGCAGTGATAGGGCAGGGGTAGAATAGAAAATTCCTCTAGAATTGAGGTACTACATGTGTAGTAGTAGTCCCTTCAGTGCCTTTGTTATCAGAAGATGGCTTTGCATTCCCAACACAGCTTTACTTGTGAGAAATCCAGTCCCTGGGTAAAGAGGAAGTGTGTGGAGTATTGCAGTCCTCTCCCCACAGTGCTTCCGTGCAGGGATCTGCCAGCCCCCACCCCCCCACACCATGTAGCCTCTAGTGTAATAAATCAGAGTGTATCATAGAAACATTACTTTTTATGGGAACTAGGGGGTTTGTGCTCGATTTATTTATTTACTTGTGACCTTTTGGGGCCATGTTTTTTCTCTGATTACATATCTGAAATAATAATTGTAAATGAGTAAGCAGATTGCTTTGATCATGAAGATCTTGTTTGCCTTCTATTTGCCACATGGCATCTGCTATGTGGAACTTGGTGCACTGTGTCCCTTGAGCTTCTAGACACAGGAAGGGGTTACATGCAAACCAAGGGGCCTGGCTTTAGGTCTTCACCCACTGCCAGCCAGCTACCTTTCTTCGGGTCATCATCTTAGCTTTGTTGGACTTCTATTTCCCATCCTTTAGACGATGCCAAGAATCCTAGTCTGGTTGATCTCCAAATGTTGGTTTCTTACCATTAAATGCCCAACCCTATGCAGGCACTGGGAGTAACTAAGGAAAGTAAGGTGAGGGCTTTGGTCTAAAGGGCTCAGAAGATGTCCTGTGAATGTAGCCTTACTTGGAAGAAGGATCTTCACTTATATAAGTTAAGGATCTTAGTCCTCCTGGATTATCTAGGTGGGCCCTAAATCCAGTGACAGCTGTCCCTTATAAGGCACAGAAGAGGCCACAGATGGACACAGGAGAGAGGAAGCCATGTGAAGATGGGGTAGAGAGGGAGTGATGCAGCCACAAGCCCAGGGACAGCTGGAGCCACCAGAAGTTGGAAATGGCAAGAAGGATCCTTCCCTGGCCCTGCTGAAACCTTGATTTCAGAGTTCTATCCTGTAGAACTGGGAGAGAATGCATTTGTGTTGCTTTATGTCCCTCGTCTATGGTTCTTTGTTACGGCAGGCAGGGCTACCATCACAGTACAGCTGTGCCACCCAGCATCATGAGACATAGAAAGAGGGCTTGCACCCTGAGCCCTGCTACTGGCCCCGCCCCCACCCTCCCACCCTCAAACTCCTTTGTTAGAGTTTCTGACCTTCTGACCTCTCAGCAGGCCAGTGCAGACATACCTCTCGCCTCCTAGCACCCTCCTCCGCCCCCCCCCCCCCAACCTCCTCTCTGTGCTGTGGATCCCACATCAGCCAGTCAGGGCAGGCAGGGGTGGCAGCTAAAACTGTATGACAGTTCTTGCCTGCCTCCCTCCCTTCTCCCTCCCTCCCACACTTGAGAATGTTAAATGAGACTTCTTGACTCAGGCAAGCTCCTTTCTTGGTTACGGAGATGTAAAATCGACCATGGCAATGCACCAGCTCTTTTTCCCGATGCCTTGATGCCTAGTTCGGAGTCAGAAGCATGGAAGTTGGCTTGTGCATTGTCCTCATTTCTTCTTGCAGTCAGGGTAGCCGACAGGCTGCCCTCTGCACTGTCGTAGGCAGAGGCAGGCAGGCAGGGCTGCTCTCTGCTGCAGGGGCTCTTGGGCATGCCTCTGTTGGAGTGTGATTGTCACTGTGTGTGAGTTGAATGCCATTCCACATACAAGTCACTGAAAAGCAGTGAAATTGCACTGAAATATTCTCTGAGGTTTACACTTTGAAGCTCAGGCTTTAAAACTCACTGTAGTGTATTTGTTTATGATTTTTGAACCTTGTGAGTGATTCTGTACAAGCTGCATCCACCCTACCTCTTAATTTAGATTATTATTTCTCAGAAGTGGAATTCCAGGATAATTACAGTCCATTAGCTGTGTGCTGTGGTTCTCCCTGGAGGATGAATTGTTTCAAGGGTGTTGGCAACAGTAGTGGACTTTTAATTTTCATTTATTGTTGCTAGGTGATCT